CTAGAGCTTTGAAAATCCTATGTGTCAATCAAACAACCCATGCTTTAGGATTATAGATATATATAGAATATAGATACCCACTCTCATCATCATACTTGATTTCTTACTCCACCAAGGGAAATATTCTCTTAAACCTCTCTCCACTTCACTATAAAATGAGGCTAATGACATGGGATGATTACGATAATTCATAATGGAAAAGCCCTTTACTTGAGCATTCCAATTGAAACTTGACTGCAACTTTATTAGCCTCTCACCTTTCTCTAATCCTACAATCTCGTAGGAATCTTGTTAGTTTTGCAAGAGCAGCACTGTAATTCCTGATGACAACAAGGAAGCCAATCCGAGGGCAATGTGAGAAAGTCAACGTGGTCCAAAAGACAAGACTGTAATTTCATCTTTGGTGCAAATTTTGGCAAAACAACTAACATGGCCAGTGGGGAAGCAAATAGAAAGTCGTAATAAAAACACGGTGACCACACACTTTTCCAAAGGAAAGTAAATTGGGAACAAAAGTGCCTTGAACTCCACAGCAACCACTACCAACATTGGTGATATCGTCCAAGGTGGCAGTGGCAACCCCATTGGCATTTTGGTCACAACAACCGAAGAATCGTCAATTATAACCCTAAGATTGGTACATTTGAGTCGTTGAGGGTAGAATTACCCCAAGAGTTACTCACAGAGTTGGGAAACGAGATCCGCAATATGTTTAATTCCCAAGAAAACGCAATAAAGGCATCGCCAGGAAATCTCAACAATGGACACACCGTTGCCCTTAAAAACAAAAACCTTAGCAGCCCTTAAGAAGGTCTTGAGGGATCTAGGGTCAATTCTAATCATGAAGATCACCAAGAGCAAGAAGCAAGGAGGAAGTGTAAAAGAACTATCAATATTAAGGAGTAGGTTAACCAATGAGACTCTGATGCATTAGAGCACCAACAGTAGAGGCAGGCACTTTCCCAATCACCAAGGTCTATGACTACAAGCCACACAATCCATTCGAGAAGGGATCAATCAGACCTTCACGAAAGAGATGCAAGGCACACGTTTGATGCTATATAGAGGGAGAGACTCTAAGGCACATACCAAAGTCAAGGAAAGCCCTGAAGATAATCAATAGGCTGACATGATCTGAGCTATGGAAATAGAATTGCTCCAACTAAAAAGATCTCACACAGATACCAAGGGTCAAGTAGAAGAACTCTAGGATTTAGAGTCTCCCTTGTCCACCTATATCCAAGAAACTTGACTACCAAGGCATTTTGTTATGCCTATATCGCAATGTACATCGACCAAGCTGACCTTGTCAAGCATGTTTGCCTTTTCAAGGAACTCACCAACATTCAAGACATGTTCTGAGATGCTATGCGCAAGACTCTTCCTTTGACTTTTGAAGGAGTGGCCCAAACTTGGTATAATAGGCTACCACCGCACAACATCAGATGTTTGACTAACTCTGCATGAAACTAACAAATCAATTCCAGGAAACAAAAAAAAAAAATTATTCCTTATTACTCGACTTATACCAAGGTAACATTGAGCCCCTTCATAATTTCACTTATCGATTTCATTCTAAAGTGATGCAGTTAGGAGCCACGAAGCATACCTACACTTTGGACACATCCTGCAGAGCAGTAAGATAGAACAAGCTCTATTCATCCTTTAGAGAACATAAATATATAAATTACATGGAGGCAACACTATGCGATTTTGGTACTAGTTCCACCGATGTTAGGAACCAGAACTGACCCCAGAACTGGAACCGAAACTAGGATCTGAGTACCCAGATGGGAATCGGCTTAAGAACTCAGAGTTAAATGATATTTCATAAAACAATGGGGGTTATTATATAATTATAGTTGTTGAATAAGAAATTATGATTTGTGAATTGGGGAAAAAAATTGGAATTAGTTTGCTTCATTCTTCCCTTCTTTGAATTAGTTGTTGCTATTCTCCTCTATTCGAATTTCCCCTTTCATTAACAATTGACAACGAAGAAGCTTCAGATACCATTGAAACACCTTTACTTTCTTCAGCTCCAACCCTAACGCATTGAAGTCTCCATCCACGTCACCAACACCATCATCATAGGTGCGTAACAGACCATCAAAGGTTAAGCCTTTTTCACCATCAAAGAATTCGCCATAAGTATGGAACACTTCGTCTAGGATGGCATTGATTTGTTTGTCACTGAATTTAACTCTAGAGTTTATGGCCACCACTAAAGCAATGATAATCCTAGAATTATACTATTTTTCTATATGATATTTGTAGAATTTTCGGATACTTCTTTCGAGCTTTGTGCCTGAATTGTTACTTAATTCTGCATATTTTATGTTTCTGGACCCAGAATCGAGCAAAATTTAGAAGATCGAGAAATTCAAATGCTAATTGGAAGCACCTTTGAAGTTTGTTCTTATTGGAGATCAAAAAGATTAAAGATTCAAGTGAAGAAGCAAGCAGAGGGTAGCTCTGTAAATTTAGCAAAGAAGATAAGAAGTTCGCCGTGGCAAGGTTTTCTCTTCGTTGCGACAAGCTAGCCTCTGGAATCGGGGGTCAGTAAAACTCAAGTCGATGTCGCAGCGAGATGTTTTCTGCGCCGCGGTAAAAACTGCAATTTTAAGTTTTTGTTAAAACGTTGCATTTTTCTTATATAGTATTGGGTCCTAGGGTTTTAGGCGACTATTTAAGAAAAAAGTTAGCTCATTTTGAGAGGGAGGTTGACATTTTGGGAAATGGGGGAGAGGAGAAGAAGATTGGAAGAATTTGGGTCTCCAAATTAGAGAAGTTTCTTTTCCCTTTCTTGTTTTATGATGTTGAACTCTGATTTTGTTATGTATTTAATGTTTATGTCCATTTTGAACATGAACTAACTCGTTTTTGGGTTAGGGTGGGTTTTGATGGATCTTTGTTTATAATGATTTAATTTATAATATCTTGTTGTTTTTGGGTTCTATTGCATGGATTAAGTGTTTATCTTTGTTCTTACTGCATTTTATTGTTGGGTTTTTTAATCAAATGAATGTTGAGCATGATGAGACTGATAAGTGATTCATGTGTTAGCTTCTTGAGGTAAACACCATAGATTGAGAAAAAACTAGAGATAGACAAATGCAATCTATAAAATCTTTATAGGATTCCACATGCTTAAGGGACTTTGAACTATTAAATTTCAATTTGTTGGGTGCGAAAGTTTAATAGGGATAAGTAGTAAATTATAACCTGAAAAAGGTATATTTTACAACCTGGGGAGTCCGATTTATAATTCGTGCATGTGAACTTGAAGATAATAGGATTATTAGGTTGAATTGGAGTAACTTGGTGAAATCGAAACCCTAACCTCTCTTCTTAAATTGAATTTCGTTGTTGAGTTGCTTTTATTGTGTTAAATTTAGTTATCTCTTTTGTTTTGTTCTAATTTAGTTTTTAGTAGCTCCTGCAAATCCAATTTTTTGTGTTCTTCAATTAGTTATAAAATTAGGAAAATTGGTTCTTAGCACTCAATCCTCGTGGGAATGATACTCTATTCATCACTTTATTACTTTTTGCGACTAGTGCACTTGCTAAATATGCATGTTTGTGAAATCACGCATCAAGGTTTTGGCGCCGTTGTTGGGGATTGATTTGTGTTAATATTGAAGTTTTCTAGTTTTTGCTAAATTGGAGTTTAATTTTCAGTTTTAATTGTTTTAGTTTAATTTTTGTTTGCTTGTGATTTCACGCTCTTTTTCTTAGTAGTTTATGCGAAAAGCAAGAAATCATCCAGTGGTTCCTATTAATCCAGAGATTGAAAGAACTGCGAGAAGTCTCATTAGAAAGAGAAGAGAAAGAGAGGCGAGAATGATTGAGATGGTTGAAAATAGAACTTTGAGGGAGTTTTCACTTCCACAAGTTGATGGGTGTAGTCTGAGCATAACGAGACCGCCTATTGAGGCGAATAAGTTTGAGATAAAGCCTACTATAATTTAAATGATTCAACAATCAGTACAATTTGGGGGTGATCTAAAAGAATATCTTAATATGCACATAGCCAGCTTCTTGGAAATCTGTGACACATTCAAGCACAACAGGGTGACAAATGATGCTTTTAGAATGCAACTGTTTCCATTCTTATTGAGAGATAAGGCAAAAGGATGGCTAATGTCGTTACCCGTTGGAACCATCACGACGTGGAATGATCTAGCACAGAAGTTCCTATACAAGTATTATCCATTAGCGCTATCGACAAAGATGAGAAATGACATTACTTCATTTGTACAAGGTGACCATGAATCATTGTATGAAGCATGGAAGAGATACAAGGAAATGTTGAGGAAGTGTCCACACTATTGTTTGCCTGTTTGGATGCAAGTCCAAACGTTCTATTTGGGTTTGCTACCAAATGTTTGAACAATAGTAGATGCAACAACTGGAAGAGCTTTACAGAACAAGACACCGGTGGAAGCTCAAGAGTTACTTGAAGTTTTAGCAAATAACAACTACCAAGGACTGGATGATAGAATAGTGCCGAAGAGGTCCATGGGTATTCATGAAGTTGATACTTACACAATCATTTCAGCCCAACTTGCCACGCTTTAGAAACAAATTGGAGGTATACATGTTAATTACATTCAAACACCTCAACTAACATGTAACTTGTGTTGCGAGCATTGATTGCTAAGTGGGGAACACCTTTGCTTCATCCTCCTCATCATCAGAGCAAGTCAACTATTTGGCTGGGAATCAAAGACAACAGAACAATCCATTCTCCAACCAACACCTATAATCCTCATTGGAGAAATCACTCAAACTTGTCCTGGGACAATCAAAAGAATCAATTAAATCAAAGGACAATGCCAAGCCATCAATCAGGGGTGAACCATCAACCAGTTGAGCAGAGAGTATCGAAATTGGAGGATATGTTTGGAAAATTCATGCAAGAAACCACAGGTTTTATGAATGAGACGCGGTCAAATTTTAGAAATCAATAAGCGTCTATTTGAATCTTGGAGGTGCAAATGGGTCAAATTGCTGAAAAATTGAATGAGAGAGCTGAAGGTTCCTTACCAAGTAATACGATGAAAAATCCATGTGAACAAGCAAATGCTATAACTTTAAGAAGTGGAACAATCTTAGAGGAAGTTGAACCAAAAAGGAAGGATAAGAACCCACCAAAGAAGAATGAAGAATCTGAGCAAGAAGTCATGAAGAGATCATTGTTGAAGAGAAGCCAACAAGTCCCAGAAAAGAAGAACCAAAGAAGGAAAAGATGTTGAAGTCAAGGAAGGAAAAATTTCCATTTCCTGAAATACCACCAGAGTTGGCACGCCACATTCCTCCAATTCCTTTCCCTCAAAGATTAAGGAAGCAAAATCAAGATAAGCAGTTTATTAAATTTCTTGATGTTTTCAAAAAACTGCATATTAACATTTCTTTTGCAGATGCATTGCAACAAATGTCGAGTTATGCTAAGTTCTTGAAGGAAATTTTTTCAAACAAGAGGAAGCTGGAAGAGAAAGAAACAATGATGCTTACAGAGGAATGCAATGCCATTTTGCAAAAGAAGTTACCACCAAAGCTCAAAGATCTAAAGAGTTTCATTATCTCTTGTGTTATAGGAGATGTTACATTTGATAGAGTTTTTTATGACTTAGATGCTAACATAAATCTATTGCCTTTTTCTGTTTTCGAGAAATTGGGGATCGGTGAAGTAAAGCCTATAATGGTTTCTTTACAGCTTGCCGACCGACCGATCAAGCATCCACAAGGTATTATTGAAGATGTGTTAGTCAAGGTTAATAATTTATATTTCTTGCAGATTTCGTTGTATTGGATATGGAGGAAGACAAAGAGATACGGCTCATTTTGGGAAGACCATTCCTTGATACAGGAAGAACTTTAATTGATGTACAGGAAGGAAAATTGATTTTGAGGGTCCAAGATGAAATGGTAACTTTTAATGTGTTTGAGGCCATGAAATTTCCATCGGAAGTAGAGTCATGTTTTGGGGTTGATGTGGTTGATAGAGTAGTAAAAGACACATTTGAAGAGATCCATCCTCAACTACCTCTTGAAGCATGCATTTCCAAATCCAAAACTACCGAGGAAGACGAGCCAAGGAAGAATGAGTGTGCTAAGTATTTGGAAGCACTTCAACCAATGAACACCATCTAGGATTCAAAATTTGAAGACTTGGACATGAGTAAGGAGAAGGATAAGGCAAAGTTGGAAGAACCTCCCAAGCTTGGATTGAAGCCTTTACCATCTCATCTTAAGTATGTGTATCTTGGTGAATCTAATTCTTTTCTAGTGATTATCAATGCAAACTTAAGTAAATTGAAGGAAAAGAAATTGATTCGGGTATTGAGAGAGCACAAGTTTGCAATTGGATGGACCATTTCAAATATAAAGGGCATTTCTCCATCTTTTTGCATGCACAAGATCCTTATAGAAGATGATATCAAGCCAAGAGTGCAACCACAATGACGATTGAACCCTTCTATGAAGGAAGTGGTAAGGAAAAAGGTGGTAAAACTTTTAGATGCGGGAATCATCTATCACATTCAGATAGTCATTGGGTGAGTCATGTACAAGTAGTTCCAAAGAAATGAGGCATCATGGTGATGAAAAATGAGAGCAATGAGTTGATCCCAACAAGGACAGTCACGAGCTGGAGGGTGTGTACTGATTATAGGAAACTGAATAAAGCAACAAGGAATGATCATTTTTCTCTACCATTCATTGATCAGATGTTGGAGAGACTAATAGGATATGCCTATTACTGTTTCCTAAATGGCTACTCAGGGTATAAACAGATCCCCATTGCTCCTAAAGACCAAGAAAAGACAATGTTCACTTGTCCATATGGTACATTTGCGTATAAAATGATGCCCTTTGGGTTATGTAATGCACCATCCACCTTTCAGTGTTACATGATGTCCATATTTAGTGATACAGTGGAACAGTTTCTTGAAGTGTTCATGGACGATTTCTCCGTTTTTGGCTCTTCTTTTGATTATTGTCTTTCTAACCTTTCTCTTGTTATGCAGCGATGTCAAGACACTAACCTAATGTTAAACTGGGAGAAGTGTCATTTTATGGTTCAAGGGGGCATAGTTCTTGGACATTGGATTTCAAGGAAGGGAATTGAAGTGGATCGAGCCAAAACTGAAGTGATTGAAAAGTTGCCACCTCCAACAAATGTCAAATTTATTCGGAGTTTCTTGGGACATGCCAGGTTCTATAGAAGATTTATCAAGGATTTCTCTAATATTTCTAAACCCTTGTGCAATTTGTTACCTAAAGATGCACTATTTGATTTTAATGATGATTGCATGCATGCTTTTCAGACTCTTAAGCAATTATTAGTATCTGCACCTATTATTACGGTTCCCGATTGGGAACTTCCATTTGAATTAATATATGATGCTAGTGATTATGCAATAGGGTAGCCTTAGGGCAAAGAAAGAATAAAGTTTTGCATGTGATACAGTATGCTAGTAGAACATTGATTGATGCACAATTGAATTACACTACCACTGAAAAAGAGCTTTTGGCAATTGTTTATGCATTTGACAAATTTTGCTCATATTTGATAGGTACCAAGGTCATTATCTAAAGGGATCATTCAACGCTCAAGCATCTTTTGGCAAAGCAAGAAGCAAAACCGAGACTTATCTAATGGATTCTACTCCTTCAAGAATTTGATTTGGAAATCAAAGATAAGAAAGGGTCGGAGAATGTAGTGGCAAATCACTTATCAAGACTTGAGAAACCAGAAAGAAAGGATGAGAAAGAGATCCAAATTCAAGACACATTTCTGAATGAACAATTGATGAAAATTGGATAAGCACCATGGTATGCTGATATTGCAAACTACTTGTCATCTCGAGTGCTTCTGATGGATATGACTTACCAACAAAAGAAAAAGTTCTTTTCTGATTTGAAGTTCTATTTTTTAGAAGAACCTTTTCTGTATAAGCATTGTGCGGATCAGATGATACGCAGGTGTGTGCCAGAAGAAGAAATGGAGAGCATATTGTGGCATTGTCATGAAAAGGAAGTTGGTGGTCACTTTAGAGGAACAAGAACTGTAGTTAAAGTCCTTCAATCTGGATTTTATTGGCTGAATCTTTTTAAGGATGCCTTTAGAGTTGCTCAAGAGTGTGACCAATGTCAAATGAGTGGGAATGTCTCAAGAAAGAATGAAATGCCCTTGAACAATATTTTGGTTGTGGAACTTTTTTATGTTTGGGGGATTAACTTCATGGGACCCTTCCCAAATTCATTCAGGAACACCTACATTTTGGTTACGGAGGACTACATATCAAAGTGGGTAGAAGTAGTTGCATTACCTTCCAATAATGCTAAAGTAGTGGTAAGCTTTGTTAGGAAGAATATCTTCTCTCGATTTGGAGTACCACAGGCTATTATAAGTGATGGAGGGACATACTTTTGCAACGGGCAATTTGAAGCTTTATTGGGAAAATATGGGGTGACACATCAAGTGGCTACACCTTACCATCCTCAAACGAGTGGACAAGTTGAATTGTCAAACAGGAAATTGAAGAAAATTATAGAGAAGACGGTAAATGCATCGAGGAAAGATTGGTCATGGAAGTTAGATGATGCGCTGTGGGCATACTGGATGGCATTTAAAACACCAATTGGAATGTCCCCATATCATCTTGTGTTTGGTAAAGCGTGCCACTTGCCTGTGGAATTGGAGCATAGAGCTTATTGGGCAGCAAAAATGTTGAATATGGATTTACAAGCTGCCGGAGAAGAAAAGATGTTTCAACTAAATGAAATGGATGAGTTTCGCCACCAAGCATATGAAAATGCAAGAATTTAAAAGGAGAAAACCAAAATGTGGCATGACAAGCATATATTGAAGAAGAACTTTGAAGTGGTTAGAAAGTCTTGCTATACAACTCAAGACTTAGGCTTTTTCTCAGAAAACTTAAGTCAAGATGGTCCGAACCCTTTATAGTTACTAAAGTTCATCCATATGAAGTAGTTAAGATTTTTCATGAGCAAAAAGGTACTTTTAAGGTCAATGGGCAAAGATTGAAGCCATACATTGATGGAGCTTTGAGTTGCAAGACATTGCCCATCAAGCTTTACATTCTAGAATGAGATCCAAGGAGAAAGTCGAGCTTTCAACTATAAACAAGCGCTTCTTGAGAGGCAACCCAAGCCTTTTCAATTTTGTGTGATTTTATTTGTTTTACATGTTGTTTTGGCTTTATTTGACTTAGGAAGTAATTAATTTTGTTTTTCTTTTTGTGTTTCAGGTGAAAAATTGAAATTTGGCATGAAAATAAAATTTTCCACACTTTGCCACAACGAGGAGAAATTTTTGTCGCGGCAAGATATACACTACCATCGTAGTGCATTAAGGTTTTCAATTTTTCGCCACGGCAAGAAAAGAAGTTCGTTGCAATAGTGTACGCACTATGATTGATATTGTAAATTTTCCAGAATTTCACCGCGACAAGAAAAAGATTTTCGCCGTGACATCGAGCAAGTCTGACGCGATATTGAAGAATTTTGCCGCAAAGAAATTTCCTCTTTGCCGCGATGAAGTCCATTTTCTATATAAACTCACCTTTTCTCTCCCATTTTCACAAGAACTCAACCTAGCCTCCAAGAACCAAAAATTTTCCTTTTCAAATTCCGACCTTTTCCATTCAATTTTCGTGCACCGATCCACTCCATTACATCCCTAAACATTCAAACAACCTTCCTTTGCAACAATTTTGGTCAATTTTGAAGAAACTTTGGAAACCCTAGGTTTTCCAAAAATTGGGGATCTTGCGATTTGGGCAAAAATTGGTGAAACTGAAGGTGCAATCTTTGTGGGTGAGATAAGATTTCAAGTTCTCTAGCCTTGAATTAGATCAATTTTGGTTTTTGATGCTTTAATTTTGAGAAATTGATTGAATTGCTTGAGTTGTGGATATTGCTGCGAATTATGGAATGATTTTGATTTGGGAAGTGTTGATTTTGAATTGATTTGTGTTGAGGAAGTTGGGTTTGTGATATTGAAGTCGTTAAACTGCATTTGGAAGTTTGGTGATTTTGGGGGTTGATTGTGAATCTCGAATTGTTGTGGTTGAATTAAAGATTTGATTGTTAGGTTGTGAGAAGTGTGCGTACTTGAATTGGTGAGTTGTTGAAATTTTGTGTTGATTGAGTGTGGGTTCTGTTGGGTTAAGAAAAGTGGTAGATTTTTGTTAAATTGTGTCGAGAGAAAAATGTCACTTAAAACATTGCGAGGGTAAGGGCAAGCAAGTAGACAACATGTTTGTAAATTTTAAGGCTAAATAGCGTTATGAAGTAGCCTTTCAGAAAAAGGGCAAGGGTTTTATTCTAGTGAGAGAGATGACTAGTACCTTTGCAGAAAATTGGGCAACAGGAAGGAATTGGGTAACCTTTTTGGAAGAACCTATGTAATACTCACTCTCTAGCTAGTATACTTGGAAAATAACAATCAAAATATATATAAGAAAATATACATGTAGATGAGTATAAAATAATGGGCCCATAACTAATTTTTCTTTAAATACAAATCTTTATAAAATATAATAAAGTCATAAAACATCAACTCAACAGTGTTGCCCAACCCTTCCACTGTGTGACGTTCCAAGCGACCGCATCTCACCTATTACCTGCAAAAACATTAAAAACAACGGAGTGAGCACTAATTGCTCAATAAGTAAACCTACTATGTTACTCTTCTCTCTCCGTTGCTTAAATTCTAAATTCCTTTCCTTACATCACACTTCTGTATTCTTCTCTGTTCTTTCTCTATTATTTCTCTATTCTTTCTCTGTTTCTAATTTCTCACTACTCATAATAATAAGAATGGTATCATGCATAGGTATGATGCAAATGCACAAATGCATAAAATGTACATTTTCTTTTCTATTTTTTTCTTATTCTGTTTTCTGTACTTCTTTCTTTCTTTCTTTTCTAGCATTTCTTTCTGTCTTTCTTTGTTTATATTCTTTCTTTCTATTCTTTCTTTTCTTTTCTATTCTTTCTATTCTTTCTTTTCTTTTCTTTCTTTCTATTCTTTCTATTCTTTCTTTCTATTCTTTCTTTTCTTTTCTTTCTTTCTATTCTTTCTCTTGCCGATCGGACTCGATTGAGGCATGGATTTGGAACCT